AATAAAAATCACGAACTGAAAGTTAAGAGGCTGCTCCTATGTTCCCACAGAAAACAAACCATTCTCTTCATCTTACAAAGCATTCAAAAATGAGAGAGAGAATTGAATTCAGACAACCATCTAAACAAAGAGCTTTGAAAATAAAGGACCCTTAACAATACTTCAAACTAAGGATACTAGAAAGCAGATGTGAATTCTAATAGAGAGAATCCCAAGAGAAGGCCAGATAGTTGTTTTCTTGGACCACTGTAAAGATACATATTGTAGCGAAGTGAACCTAATGCTGAGGATTTTGATATTAAAATTATTGCATATAAAAGTCATTTTGACATGAAAGTTGCCATCATCTTGCAGATAATTCATCACTAGCAACAGTGATCAGTGAGTATGAGGGGAATTAAACCAGAACAACAATGAAAAGAGGGCCATATAACCCCTTTATTGGAAGCCTGTTAAGAGAGATTGTTGAAAGGTGGATCAGAGACCCGGATTTTCATATAAAAATGTTATTAAGTGAAAGTGACTGAATCATAACACCAGGACATAACATAAAGAGCATATATACAACCTAACATTAAAGTACAAAATGCATATTTGACCACAATACAGCTTCACATACCTCAAGTTCTGCAAATGCAATTTCTGGCTCCACCATCCAAAACTCTGCCAAATGCCTTGAAGTATGGGAGTTCTCAGCTCGAAAAGTAGGCCCAAATGTATAGACACTACTAAGAGCACACGCATAAGATTCAACTTGTAACTGGCCAGAAACAGTCAAAAAGGCTTGACGGGCGAAGAAATCTTGGGTATAATCAACCTTCCCATCCTTTCGAGGGATACCAGGTTGAAGCTTAGATCGCTCCTCTAGCTTTAAGACATTATCCTTTGCCTTTTTAAGCTCAACCACAGCAGCATCAATATCCTGCTTACTTGCTTTAGCAGATTTCAGCTGAGCGACATCATCACCTCTCTGCTTGACATTAAGCTTGGCAGCCTCTATGTTTGCTTCTGATGGAGGAGGGTTCTCAATCAGATCCTTTTCCAACTTTTCAGCTCCACTAATCAAGGTTGTGACTTGAAACATCTCACCAGCACCCTCACAGTCACTGGTGGTAATAATTGGAGTTTGCACATAAAGAAATCCATGCTTATGGAAAAATGAGTGGGTTGCAAATGCCAAGGCATCTCTGATTCGAGTAACTGCAGAGATCTGAAAGCAGATTCAAGTTAATCAAACATTAATTATTAAAAGTATAAGATGTTCTACAAGCAAGATGAAGGCTAAGAGGCAACACATTATCATCAACAATAACTGCCCTTTAACATCTCTCCATAAAAAACCAAGGTCATGTTCAATCAACCTTCTTTTAAACAGGGGGAAGAAAACAAAGGGGCTCCACTAATTTCATACTTCATTATGGTTTTCTATAAGAAACAGAGTTTTATTGATAAAAAATTAATAGGAGCAGACAAGCTATCCAAAATCAGCAGTCCATCAGTAAGCAGTAAGCTAAAATGGAAAACAATTCACTTCCTAACACAAGTTGAAAACCAAAACATTAATTAGGCTCCTAAGTAATAGCTGGTTTCCAATCAGCTAAACAAAAAAGTAATGTTTTATAATGCGAAAAAAATTGAAACACAAACAGAAGGCCAATCTCACTTCATTCATTTACACCTACATCCCCTCCCATTGTGATTCTCAAAAATTCTTCTTTTCCTTTCCAACCAAATAAGGTAAAACATCATAAAATAGCAACAAAAAAAAAAAAAAAAAAAAAAAAAAAAACTCGATGTCATCAAATTTTTTGCTTCTTCCAGCAAAAGCCTTATGCCTTCTAAGACAACAAGGAAAAAACATGCAGCTGGAATTAACCATAGCACAATCGTTCTTTTGAGTAAATCCCCTCCCGTTGTGATTCTCAAAAATTCTTCTTTTCCTTTCCAACCAAATAAGGTAAAACATCAAAACAAAACAAAAAACTCGATGTCATCAAATTTTTTGCTTCTTCCAGCAAAAGCCTTATGCCATCATTTTTTACATAAAACAAGATGATGACTACTATTTACCCATTAGTGAAAAAAAATTCAAGATCTTTTCCTTTCCACCACTTATCCCCCAGAATACTCTGATGGATAAGTACATGTTAATCAAGTTTCTAATCAAACAGAACCAACTAAAACTACATTGTATATGCATAGTGTATTAATCAGATTGAAAAACAAAATTAGAAAAAGTGAACAGATCAACCATACCCAAGGGCCAAAGCAAAAATCTAAATGTTTACAGGCACTTAGTATATCTGTGAGTATGCATTTATGAGAGTAAGCATGTTTCAAATTAATGCAAGCAACTTACAGTGTTGGTTCTGGAACGCATATGAAGACGGTCCCTCAAAAACTCGAGGGTGAGCCTGGTCTTGGGCAACGGGTATTTAGCTGGGTCAACCGGACCCACATGGATCACCTTCTCAACATCAAGCTCCACCTTCTGCTTTTTCCCATCAGGGGGAAGCTTAAGCATACCATCCACAGACAGGCAAGTACCAGTCTGTACAAGCTGCCCAAGGTCATACTTGTCAGCTTTTACAATCACCTGAAGGTTGCCTGCGCATGACCCATCGTTCAGCTCCAGGAATGCAAATGCATCCTTGTCTGCCTTCCGACCAGTCTTCACCCACCCACCAATCCGGACTGTCTGCCCGGCCAACCTGGACCCTCCATCAGGTCGCGAAATAATGGAACGGATGAGGACTCTGTCAGAAAACTCAGCTTTTAGAACGGAGGAATCGTCACTTAAGGTTACTTTCGCGAGCTGGGCACTTGAAGGCATGGAATCACCAGCCATTTGGAGTTGGAATTCAAACTCCCGCCAAAGCAAATAGCTTGAGACGGCAGCTGAGTATTGTTACCCAAACAACTGTCTGTAACAGGCAAAGGACAACTGATTATTACAATTCAATCTGCAAAATCAAGTATCCGCGTGAGTTCTTGAAAGCATCCAGAAAAATAAACTAAAAGAACAACAGAAAAAGGAATGAAGCTAAACATACATATAAAGCTTCATCGAAATTTATCACACACATATGCAAAACCTCCATGGACGAAGCATCAAATTCAACCAGCCAAACCAAAACAATAAATTGTTAAAAATTTCTAAACTTTACCAATTATCTAATATGCCCATCACACGCACAACCGAAAACATCAATAAAATTTACACTAAACATCAATGAATTTGCACTAAACATCAACGAAATTACCCATAATCCCATTTCTTCCACACCAATTTCTATAATTTCCAAGCACACAAACAATGTAAGGGACGACATTTAAGCTAAAACTGTAAATCCAAATTTCAGACTCCACATTTCTGATACCAAATTGTGAAAAGGAAATCTAGTTACCTGACACGGGAAGTGAAGGGTTTTTTTTTTCGTTTCAGTGCAAGACCTTAATCGTGATATTTCGATTTCGAAGTCCCCCTCTCGGTTTCTTGAAACCCTAGTTGTGAAGACTTGGGGCCTCGGTCGCTCACTGCCGCCGCCCAAGAGAAGGAAGGAAGGAAGGAAGGAAGGAAGGGTTGTAGGGCGAAACGAGTGAAACGCCAAAATATAGGAAAGACTATTCCGCGGACTGGGAGAAAAGGCAAGAAATCTTTACACTGTTTAAAATACCGGTATAAAATTTTGGAAATATTGCCAAATAAGATTTCAATAGAAATAATGGAAATATAAAATGAAATAATGGAAATATTATTCATTGTGAAACTAAGTTTATCTATCGTTTGTTAAAAAAAAAACAAGAATTTGGACGAAATATAAAAGTTTCTATAATATTTAACACATATGAAAGTATCGATGATAATGTCAATCTTGAAAGTTTCTTCATCGATTTTCATATCTTTCTCTGATTTTTTGACATTTGTATCGAAGAAATTTTAGACATTAAATTTTATCCAAAAAGTTGAAAAATAGAATTTTTGTTTTCCTTTCCTTTTCTGCTTTTAACTTTTTTTATCTTTCCAAATTTTCCGCTTTCGAACTTTAAATGTTACGTTTTGTTTTCATTATTTACCTTGGAGGGCCAAAAAACTAGGGTTTGATCAAACAAAATTCTTATTAGAGGGGCGAATCGGATTTTGACTCAGATATGATCCAAATTTGATGTAATTAATACGATATGAATTGTAACTTTTAATACGATAATTTGAATACAATCCGTATTTGAAGGTTTGACAATGGATGGAGTATTAGTATATACTTTCCTTTTTCTTTTTGAATATAAGATGTATTCTATGAGTTTGTTTGAGGGTACTTTTAAAATTGTTTAAACGTTTTTGACGAAAATGTTTTTGCTTTTGGAACTAACCAATCATTAGTAAAAACGCAAGTAAATCTTGAAAAAAAAAACTCTTAAAAGTGCTTTTTGGAAAAAACGCATAACTGGTACTTCTTACATAAGCACTTCAAATGCTTTTAACTCAAAGAAGGTACTTTCAATCATTTTAAAAGCATTTTCTAACGAGTCATATGTTAATAACAAACTAATTTCCTTCCCATACAACATCAGTATCATATGAAGTGGCGTCGTATTTTTAACCCTTAGGTTAACTGGTGCGCCAAACCAGAGTCAATAACCTCAAAGAATACATTCGTGAGAGTTTAAACTCGGAATGAGAGTTCCAAATTTTTACTCCCTTTCCACTAGACCCCTTTTGAGGTTTATAACATATTATTTTATGTTATGCATTAATTATAAATGGATTCAAATATGAATCAAGACAAATCCGATTTATTTTTAGGGCTAAAAAAACCACTATCAGTTGACAAAACACAAAGTATAAAAATGATAAAGAAATAAAATAAAGGAAAACTAATGAAAAAGACTTAAAAACTTTAAGTTTTAACGATAAGGACAAAATAAATGGTAAAGTGAATAGTACTATATTTTTTAGTGTAAAAATATGATTTTTCGTTAAAATGAACAGTCCCGCAGACTTTTCGTTAAAATTCCCATAAAATAAATGTTGACACCGAGAATTTGTATACGAGTAAAGTAGACAATTAGCTTTTTTCTTCTCTTCCACAATGTTTGGTCTGAATGCTGTGAGTACTAAATACCGTCCCCACCATATCTGGATGCTCTGAATTTGCTCATATTCGGTTCATATAACCACTGGCTTCCGGAGAGAATGTATTCCTCCAGAGGAGCATCGCATAGAGTGCGAGTGCTATAGGGCGATTCCATAACGAATACTAAACCGAGGAATCCTTAAAAATGCGGGATGTGAGAGCGAGAGAATGAGCGAGTGAATGCTCTCTCACGTCATCATTGATGCCCGCATTAGAATTCCTCGTACTAACTTGCTTGTAGGAGTAGCTTCTGGGATAAATAATCGACCTTAACTGTTTAGATAAAGGAAAAATCCAACAAGCATGTCGAAATTTATTGTACCTATCTTATGTACAAGCTATCCTCAAGGAGACTGAAGAAGATTCAAAACTGATTTTCTCTCCGGCATGCTAGGAATGGCTCCCTTTACTTGAACACAAAGAGAAGCTGCCGCAGCTGGCAAAATGAGAAGAGAAAGGAGTCATCAACGAAAGTGTTATAAGGAACGTACTCAAAATAGAATAACGGGTTTTGTTGCCCCTACCTGCAAATCTCAAGCATTCTCGTTTGGACTTGCCCTCCACAAGAGCCACCGCGAAAGAGGCTGTAAAAGTATCACCAGCTCCGGTAGTATCAAGTACTTTGGCAGCAGGTATGACTGGTTGTTTGAGTGGTTCTTCACCATCTACAAATAGGGCGGACCCTTTGTCCCCAAGTTTCACCAGGACTTGCTTAACACCCTGAGATTAAACATAAAACAAAATTACGGCTTGGTAAAGCTAGAATATAAGAGCACCTTCCCAGTGTGGTTAAATGACCTACTATCATCTAAAATCAATACTATCTGACAACATAAGGGCCAATGCAAGAAAGCTGATGGAAACGGTATCAGAACGTCATGAAAAGATCAGATTTTGATATCAGCAAGATATTTCCCTTTTTGTCCAAGATGATATAACACTGAATACGAAATTATGCAATGATAATACCAAAAATCTTCAAATCATAGAAAACACAGTCTAGAAGCTTGATTAATCTGTTCAAAGCTATGAAAACTACTCAGTGCAGCACAACTTACCATTTTATGGAGTTTCACCACAGCATTACTAATCTGTTCAAAGCTTTCAGTCGGCATTCCTGTCAAACGACCAAGCTCAGTTTCATTTGGACTCAAAATATCAACAAAGTTCAATAGTTCTCTAGAGATTGGTGTGTCCATCCCTCCAGCATCCAAAATGACTGGTACACCTGCACTCTTGGCAGCCTAATTACAAAATAGTATATCAGTTTATGAATTGTTACGAAGATAACAACGATTAATGGAATCAACATGTTCATAGTCACATCTACTATATAAAGGGACACAAAATTGAAATTCAAAGTAAATAAACTTATGTGAGGAATTGAAAGTTGCCTATGAACAGACCTACTGTCATGTACTTTACGTGACTACACGTGGTCTGCTATCGGATCCACCTTGAGCAAATTACCTTATTCCTGCAGAGATCCTATATGGTGCTATGCTGTTTACAAGACACGGGCTTCAAATCGAGACTCAAGGACCTAAAAATCAATAGCACTTCACACCAATTTAATCATTTACAGCTGTGGAATAATTTTCATATAAATTGCCATTAGTAACTCACTTCATTGCCCAGCAGTGGGGAATAAACATGGCAGAAAATACACACAGAAATTTAATTGAATCCACGCATATGCTACAAGTAGATAGCAGGATCATTTGATCCTAATCTAGCACAATCGAGCAATATCCTAAGCAAAACGGAACTTATAGATTGAAAAAAAAAATACTGAAAGCCCTGACCTTTGCAACCTGAACGTTGACCGAATCCGGAATCTCCCTCTGAAGCAGAACAATTCCAGCATTTCTCACAACCTCCAAATCCTCATCAGAAATCCTCTCAGGCCAGCACTCCATGTTGGACCCACCAACAATGATGATGGAGTTCTGCCCATCAGACTGCAACATCACCACCGCATGCCCAGTGGGCGCACCAGAAACCGCACTCAGGCGATCGAGGCAGACCCCGCCGCTCTTCAGAGCCTCGGTGATCAGCTTCCCATGGGCGTCCTCGCCCACCTGACCGACGAAGTATGTTGGGTAAGAAAGCTTGCCGCCGCAGGCAGCCTGGTTGGCGCCTTTGCCGCCAGCCAGGGTCTGGCCGCTCTTGGCTGAAATGGTCTCGCCTTCTTTGGGTAGACGGTCGATTTCGACGTAGATGTCGGCATTGGCTGAGCCGACCACCACGAGCGGCGGGGTTGTGGCGGTGAGAGGGGTTGCTGGGTTTGGGGATTTTGATGCGTCTACGGAGAAACAGGGAAATGGGTTTCTTCTATTGGATTGAAGATTTGGGTTTGCGTTGTTGATTGATCTGTTTGGGTGGGTTGGGAAATGGGTTTGAATTTTTTCGTGCCATTGATTTGACGGTGAGAAAACTGCAGCTCGGATAGCACTCATTGCTCTCTGTCTCTCTCTCCGACTGAAGTTTCAAGAGCGATGACGCTTTAGACGAGGAAGGTAATCGTCGATTGATACCCGACAAGCTTGCTGTTTGAGGATGGAGACCCAAAATTTTATGTCAGTTTTACTTTCCCATTTTACCCTTAAATTTTGAAAATATACTTTCTATTGGTATATTTTTTTTTTTATTTACCCTTAAAATTTTAAATTCGATTATCATTAAAAATAAATTTAAATTACATTATTATTAGATTATTATCACATTATTATTGACTTAGTATGAGGCTAAACTTATCCGCTTCCCTTAATGTAGATAATAATATCGTTTGTTAAAAAGAAAAAGAAAAAGAGGTTTTTTTCTTTATTAAAGAAATCTAGACAACAAGAGGTGAAATTTTTAAAAGTTAAAATTGATCTTGGCCGCTATTAATTTGAATGATCAAGATTATTTAGTCTGCAAGCTCCACACACAGATATCCAAAGACGATCTTAATCCCATTATCCAAGTCCGCAATTCATAAATTAGCATTGTTTATTACTTGGTGTTATTACATATTGAATACATCAATTTGAGCAAGATATAGAGGAAACGGCAAGAGGGATCTGCTTTGGTGCAAACATACTCAAGAGCAAGGTATAAAATATTGATGATATTAGAAATATTGGTAGTTCAAAAACACGAAAATTTCGATGAAAATATCGGTATATTATCGATATCGATAAAAATTGAATAAAAACCACGGAAATTGTAAGAAAAACTTAGAAATTTTTATTGAAACTTTGCAGGATGTTTATTTAGTCAATTATCTATTAGTTTATCACAAAAAATTAGAAGGAAATGCATTGCATGATAGATATAACTGATTTAAGTTGATTATATAGCGAGCTGACAAACATTGTGAGTGTAGAAAATATGTAGTAATTAATGAAAGAAGTTTAAACACACCATAATCATTTATATATAATAAATTAGTACAATATTTTACACTTCATACATTGCATGGTAAGATACATGAGTGACTTAGCAAAGTCTAAAATATCGATGATATCGGAAATATCGGTAGTCCAAAAACACGGAAATTTCGATGGAAATATCGGGATATTATGGATATTTTAGACCATGCTCAAGAGAGACAATTCCACTAGTGGTAATATGGTACCCATCATTAACAAGACACTCATTTTTGCTCAATCACCTGAATATTCTCCGGTTAATCGGTCTCTCGGAGTGAAACGAGCCACATCTCAGACGGATTTGCCCAATTGGGCAGTCCTCACTTGGGCACGCATTCAGAATTTGGACGCTGAAAACTCGACTTCCTGTCCTGAGTAGCTTGGCGTCGGGGAATTGTATCACCGAGATGAAGTTTTTTGAACACGTGACTTATGGTACTCATTTGACTCGATTATTGCTGCAATGTGACGAGCATGCGAGATTAATTAACGTTTAGGATAAGAGTAACGTTCTCTTGCTAGATATCTGACATGTTATATGTTAGTTAACTTGGAATCATCTCTGCAATTGTAGCATGTATTATCGGAATGTAATTTTTGAATTGTAAATAGTGTAGGATTGCTACGTAAATAGGGATTACTATAATCCTATAATATATTGTAATATTTTCCACACATTAATATAAAGAGTCATAGTTCTACATAATATCACCCGTCTAGGTTTTTTCTCGGATTCCAAGTTTTCTCTTTACGTCCTAGGGTTTATCTTTTTCACTTACCTTGCCGTCCAACCTATACCAAATTAAACAACAACAAAAAAACAACACAACTCAACTCCCAAATTGTTTTTGGACCCCGATCACGCCCTCACGGTTTTGTTCTGGGAACTCAGATGAGAACTTCCCAGTGGATCACCCATCCTGGGATTGCTCTCATATGAAATCGCTTAACTTCAGAGTTCCGATGGAATCCGAAACCAATGAGCTCTCAAAAGGCCTCGTGCTCGGAAGAGATAGTCATGTAAATATAAGGCTTAGAGGATCCACTCTCCTGGGCGATGTGGAATGTTACATTGTAGTATTTTTTTTTTTTAGAAAAAAAAAGAGTCGGTGATTTCACCGCCTACCCTTTTGGGAACCAAAACCCTTTTAGAGGCTGTGACCTTTTTAGAGGCCGAAAAGACTCACAGATGATTTAGAAAGAAATATTACAATAAATATCTTAATCTTTTCAGCTATCAAATTGATTTGGCTTTTAATCAAGGATGATGTACTATCAAAATGATTTGGTTTTTAATCAAGATTATGTACGGATTTACAACATAAATTACGAATGTTACGTTATGTTAATTTGGACTCAACCGTTTCTCAACTTTACCAAATCCTACCAAATAGTACAAGGCCATATTCTTGAACATACTAGCAGGGATTCGCGAATTAATACAAGGCCTAAGTTGCCATTAAAACTATGAAACGGGTTCATTTTTACTTGTAAGTGAGAAAAAAACGTTCTAACTTATTAGATAACAAGTTCCATACTCAAAATCACCCCTCCAAATATTATTGTATCCAAAAGAAAGAGAGAGAAAATTGAAGGACGATATTTGTTATACCACATTTATTGTACTACTAACCACCTCCTTAATAGACGGCTAAAAGTAGAAAACTCACCTGCTGCGGATTTTTATCTCCCCTTCTTGTTATTTCACCCCTTGCGTGAGGGGTGGGATAGAGAGAAATAAAAACTCGGGCCATATAAGTAATGTAGAGGCAAGTTTGTTAAAGAGATTACGAGCAAAGTGATCAGTAAATGTGATTAATTACAGAGTCTGATTCTTGGTTTCAGGTTGACAATACGGCCATTCGCCATTCGGAATGTGCAAAGCATCACATATGATTAATGTACATATATTTCACAACTGTGTGCATCACTGGCATCCAAAGCTCATTGTATCAGAAAAAATGTTGGCCATAAAAGTTCAATCATGCAATTGAAATCTGCTGAGGATTCTACAAAATGGACATTTCCACTTTGGAGTTATTGACATAACAGAAGACTAATCTACACATAAAATGCACGAATGCAATAATAGACACCCGAAAAAATTGATCTCGCAAGAACGGAATGGTGTTATCTACGCATCTCTAGCTCACTTAGCGACTTCTTATTATCCTGCAAAATTTTAAGCAACAAATTTATGAACAATAATATTAGTAAATACAATGCACGGTGAAGTAAATTGAACAAATTTCTTGCCTTCCCAATTGAGAGAGTTCGGGCTCCGCAAGAAGCATGTCTTGCAGTGGTTTTGCATTCTTCTCTCTCTCAGCAGGACTACAAGATAAGGGAGGCAACAGCAGCATCAGTAATTTCAAGAAACAACTAGGTTGCAAACGGAACGTCAAAGCTTTACCGATCGAAGCCAAGCAACAGAAGTGTAATTTAAAAACAAAGTTTATCAGGAAATGCAAAAGAAGCGAACTACGCACCTAAAACATATGATCAAGGGAGATAAGCCTGTGGTGAATTGTGTGCTTGCTGCCCACATAAGTCACAACTAAGCTGCCAGCATCCGGGTGGGGCCAGCTCCTTGAAGTAGGAAACCGGAGTACAAACGTTCCAGGTTCCTGGAAACCCCTTGAACCTTGAAGCGAAGTCTCAGCTTCTTCCTTTGTAATGAACCCTTCTATCCACTTGGGGGACGTTGAACTCCACATTGTATTTATCCCACCTCTTGATAACGTAAAAGCTACAGGATATAACCAACACCACAACTTTTCAAAGTTCTCTTTGGCGAGATGTTCTCGGCAACCAGCGATTCTCCCCAGTAGCTCAAAGTCCTGAAAGCATTTCCCAAAGGAAAAGACTAAATTTTTGCAAGCTAATTCTTTTACAAATTTCTTCTTGGCAATTAAACTTCAGAAAAGCTGAACGAAATAGAAAAAACAAGATAAACCCCTAAACTTTGTGGAATCACACAAACCAACTGATAATTTGTATCCAAGTTCTGTTAAACAAAGCTCATCGCAGCAAGCAATGATAACGAAAGTTGAACCAAATAATGACATGGATGCTGTCACTGGAGCTCCACATGAGAAAAGACTTGAAAGAGACAACCATCAAGGTTGCTAAGAATTTACTATGACTTCGAATTATGCCAATCCTACAGCTTGAGACTCAAAAAATAAAAAACCTGCTATACTCGTAAAGTAGCCCAGGGCGTTTAACAGGTGTTTTAAATTTTGAGTTTAGCAAGGCGTTTATATTATCTGATATCTTTTCATTTTCAAGCTGTGATTCAAAGTATACAACATAAAAAAAAACCTACTAGACTCGGAATTTAAAATCTTTTCTGAGAAAAGGTTCACAAACTCAGTGGATTGAACACAAAGTTAAAATTTATTGAAAAAAATACGACTGATCTGAAAGCTTGATCATGTAGTGTTGATTGCTCCACCAAATTCAGTTGTCTGACATACAGCAATCTTTAATAAATAGTTGATTATGCTGTAGGTGTATTATGAGCAAAAGATACTTGATCCCACAGGAGATTCGAAATGTCTAATCCTTACATATTTCAACCAAGAGTAAAGTAGAGAGAGAGAGAGAGAGAGAGAGAGAGAGAGTACCTGCTGTGTGAGAGACCGAGAATTACAACAAGCAATCTTCATGAATTGCTCTTCAATTTCAAAAACTGCACTCTCCCATGGAACCTGGCGGTTATTTTGTGAGATGGAATTCCAAGCTTTAGTTCCTTCTTCTACCAATCTCTTTGCCATTTCTACTTGGTGCCTGGGGGAATAAACAACAAAGAAAAAGGATTCTGATTATACAAGGATAAGGAATATCAGTACCGTAAATCACAAATCAAGGATCAGTGGGTAAAAGATGATCAAACTCTTGTCCTTTTTTTTTCTTTAGTGCAAATTGACACAATATACACAAGGAAGGGGGTTAGTGACTGCATGATCAGTAATCTAATGAGATGAGCCTTTCGGGTCTGTTACTTTCTAGTTTCTTCCTACAATTATTTTTTATCGGTCATGAGTCAGTTTTCACAGAAATGTCTAGTTGGAATCTCAAACAAAAAACGGAAGCTAAGTTTGGCCACCAGTGGAGTATTGTGAATTT